CGCCCCTCTCAGAGATTCATTGACTATACTCAATAAGATCAAAATGCGTGTGACTCGAAAACATTGGTGGCACTCTCTGAGGAAGTCACGGCTGACAAAAATAATTTCCATTTTGTTCCGGGGCTAGCGGATTAAAAGCAAACAAATTTACAGGCTTGCTGGCAAGATACTAATGGACCTGACTGATGTACACAGTGTCCTTAAGCTATAATACAAATCGTGTGGTCTATATAGAATGTCCATCTTGACCAGACTGAGGAAACTTTACACACACACATACACACACACACACACACATATTATTCTACTTCTTTAGCGTTCCGAGCCCTTGAGATTTATTGTTGCAGATATCATCCGCTTCCATTCATCTCTCTGGTGACACCAGGTGTTTGCAGGTCTGTCTGGACATTAGTCGTTGTGGCCGAGCGGCTAGACGCTCGCCGCGGATCGGAAGGTCGTGGGTTCACTCCCTGGCGGAGTCGGACTTTGTTTAAAAATGACCTTGACTCCCAGGTCGACCCAGCTTTGAGTCGGTACCGTGGGCATTCCCAGAAAGTAAAGGCGGCTGGCGTGATGCTGACCACATCACCCATTTTGTGCCGATTGTTCTATAAAAATTGGTCTAGCCCTATATGCCCTATACGTCTGATGGCGTGGAAAAGGGTTCTATTTTCTGGATATTATCTCTCCATCGTCCTCTTGGTCTGCCTCAGGGTCTATGACCATTCAACGTTTCAAATATTTTGATCTTTGTGTTGCGAGATGGAAACTTTGACTTTTGCAGATGTTGAAGGGCATAGTATACTTTATTTCCAGATTGTATTCTACATTTTATTTCTTCTCTTAACATGTTGGAGCAGTTGAAGTTTGCACCCAAATACTTATACAAGGTACGACAATTAAGTAATAAGACTAATTACATAACAATTTTTAAACTAGAAAATAATAACAGGGAGACAAATCTGGGTAATAGGGTGGATGGTTGAGAACACAACCTTGTTTTAGGGCAAACAATTCCTGTTTTGATGATGTCTCGTGGGTACTCAACCCGCTGATGTTTTTGGTCATCAGACAACGACTGTGGTACACACCAACTTTTTCTTGCCAAAATCTTGCACTAAAATGTTACGAAAGGTCTATCTATTAACGCAAGATTCATCTGCCATCATCTTGACAGTAAAACAACGATCTTCTTCTATCCGTTCTGTGACTTTTGCAATGAGTTCATCATTACCAAAAAGAAATTGGGCGTCCTGGTCTAGTTGCATTAGTGATCATTTCTACACCCCTTTTAATCGTGAATACCACCTGAAAATCTGTGCACCTGATAAACAATTATCCCCATAAACTTGTCGCATCAATTGAACTGTCTCAGTAACGCTTTTTCTGAATTTTAAACATAATTTAATATTAGCTTTTTGCTTCATGCTGATTTCGTAAAAATGCACATCTAACTAGGTCAATAAAATGGCGGCTTGTTTGTCGTCTGCTTATCAGGTGGCAAATCAAAGTTGTCATAGATGAAGGTTGCCTCTTCGGATTCCATTCTTTGCTTCATAGATGGCACTTTTACCTCGGCCGTAATAAAATCAGTCTCATTACTTAATTGTCGGACCTTGTATGTTTCCGTTCATTTAATTTTCATATTATCGACTTGCATGTGGCCAGAGTTTATATCCTTTGACTGTATTATTATTATCATGTATTCTTTCTTATCTTGATAACTAGTCCCATTTTGTGAGCTGCTTCTTTTAAGAGACTCAGTATTTTTACAGCCTCTAGTTTGTGTTCTCCAACGATTTTGATGTCATCTGCATAACCAAGTATTCTTATAGTTTCTCTTAAAGTACACTCTTGTTTCAATTTCCTTATAATTTTCTCCTGGACCAAGTTGAAAAAAAAAGTGGCTACAGAGCATAGCCTTGCTTTACACCAGATGTTATTCGAAAAGGGTCTGACCTCCCACGAAGGTCTCTCCACCTTGTCGATGTGGGGGAGCTTGTGTTTCTCAATGACACCGACAGCCATGTAGGCGATAGAGCAGCTACTAGCAGGATCTCCCAAGCCGGAAAGGTCAAAGGGTAAAGAACAGACAAAGCCACCCTGGTCCTCCAGGTTGGGGGTTGAAGAATAAAACTATTTCGACACGAAACATATCAGGTTCGATTTCGGATGGATTTAAAAGGATAACGAAATTGGAACGGTAAAGGACTTTTGAGATTTGGAACATGGAATGTACGATTCCTTTATAGAGCTGGAGCAGCTGAAGAACTGACCCGTGAGTTATCAGAATGTGGATTTAACAGCGATTCAAGAAATAAGATGGCCCGGACAAGGTAACAAAGAGGAAAATTAAATGATTAGTGTGTATAGAGGAAACACTCAAAACAAACATGTACTAGGGTCAGGATTTATCATTAAGAAAAAGCTGTAAAAGTATTATGAATTTTGAAGCCGTTGGTGGTAGAATCAGTAAGTTAGAATAAAAGTAAAACGGAAAAATATCACGATGAATATTGTGCATGCACCCACTGAAGATGAAGAAAATAATATTAAAGAATATTTCAACGATCGCTTTAAGAATATCATAGAGGAAACTCAAAAACAGGACTTATTGATTGTCTGCGGAGATTTCAATGCAAAAATAGGAAAAGAGAATACCTATTAAAATGTAGCAGGCATGGAAAGCCTACACACAGTTTCAAACGATAATGGATGGAGATTATTCAGCCAGGCAGAAGCCAAAGAACTACAGATAAGCAGCACCAGATTTCAAAGAAAGGATATACATAAACAAATCTGGAAATCATGAGACAAGATAGCTTATAATCAAATAGATCACACACACACACACACACACACACACACACACACACACACACACATATATATATATTCATAAGACAATATCGCTATGCAAAGGAACAACAACACACTTGTTTACTAGTTGAATTGTTTATATTGTCAGTCAACGGAATGTAAGATAAGTGAATAAAAATGTGACATCATTGCACGGAAGAAATTCCCATATTTGCGTTGTCACAGCAGCCAGTTTCTTTACTAAAAATGTTGGCATGTAAGATACAAGCATTTTACTTTTTTTTTAAAATTTAGTTACCTACTTTTGGATTAATTTTCAACTTGTTAATTCTGTTGTAATTCTAAGAATGTATTCTTTCATATTTTTGATTAATTTTCAAAAAAAAAAAAAAAAAAAAAAAAAAAAAATGTTTACGTCACTATTTCTGGATGTTTTAATTTGCATTCTTTCATACACAATTATATTAATTATATTTTACTCCTTGAATAACTCCTTTTCTTTAATGAAAATACAATTTATATTTTTATTATAACAGTGTTCTGGCCTTTATATTGTATAATCACCATCACCAGGTAGTAGTAGCTTTTATCACGGCTCGCAGGAAACCCGTCTGCTTACACACCCACTAACTTTCATGGACAGATATAAAACCGAACACAGCGAGCTAACTTTCATGCCCATAGCGTCCTTTATATCCCGTGTTTACTGTCGTGCCTATGTTCCCTTTCCTCCTAGAGAAACTATTGCGTCCATGCTGTCATTTCCGAACCAAGAAGGTGATAGGCCGAACTGATTCAGTTTGTGAGAAACTATATTTATATAAGCCAGTCTCAGTCGATATTCGGACCGTGAAGAATGTCAGTATTTACTCTAATTATAGGCCATGATCTATTAAAGGAAGACAGCAAGAAACTATTCTTTATAACATTTTGCCATAGAACAGAAACGTGCCACAATACGAATTTATACGCGCAGTGGAGACGTAAGACTGCCCATGACAATCTGCAAGGCATTTGAAGATGATAACATTTATAAGTGTTTTCATATTTCTTATTGCATATGTTCTGTTGACTGCCTTCAACCTAATCATATTGTGTACTTTAATATTTAGTCATGAAGTTTTTAATAAGTTAAAAGCGAATTTTCGGCGGAGAATACTTAACATTGTTTCTCTTTTAATATTGTAAGATATACATGTTCATAAAGCTGAAACATCAGGCTGAGGATTTTCAGCTAGAGTGTAGGGAAAGATTATGGCTGAACAAAATTGTGTTGTTGTTTTTTCTACAACTTCAAGCGTTAGTGTGGAGGTGGGGGCAATCACTGCAGCTCTGATATGGATAGCAGGATATATAGTAACCATAGAAAATATATTGATTGATTCTCAGTCGGTATTAGGAAAGGTTTAAAATGATGTGGCATGAGTGGATAAACAAGCATCAGTACGCTAAAACTGCAGGGACTCACGTGGAAATGAAAAAGCAGACTTTCTGGCTACTTAAGGAAACTTTCCGAAGACCATTTATGGACGAATGCTGATAGTAGACACCAGGTAAGATTAAATAACATGTAAAAATATGAGAACGAGAAATTCTGTGTGGATCGGGCATAGAGTTACGTAAAAAGAGGAAAAGAAGGGCGAGTTTTATAATCAGTGTACAATGGAAATAGTATCAACACTTTAAGACATTTGTTGCGGGATACTGAGCACCTATGGGTATTCCCGGTGTGCTATGATATCGATTCTTAAATCAGTATTAATTAATCAATACTTGTTACGTTTTTTCTTTTTGGAGGTAATATTTCAACTCATTTCGTATTAATTATATTTCATTCGCGTTATTGTTTAAATAATTAATTACTGAAATGCATTATTAGCAGGCATTATTCCTTGATAGTATTTAAGATTATGTTACCATTTTAAATTTAAATGAACGCACAGTTTTACATGATATAACCTATTTTTAAAGTAATATTGCCAAAAATTAATTATCCCTTGTCATTCAGTTTCTAAAGGAGTGTAGTAAAATGATGTCAGTCTAATCATTGGTATGTACTATGGTGTTGTTTAGTTCGGAAAATTTATTTCTAAGCATTATTTCCACACTAGAAGATTTTAGCTGCTTGCGTCCATAGTTACAGTTATTTTTACGTCGTTTATGTTATACTGATTTGCAAACTACCCGCTACGTAGACACGGAAAAGGGATAAAATTATTAAACTGTTTCCTCATACAAATCCCCATATATCGTTCCCTTTTCTCCACGTTAGCAAAGGAATCATCTTCAGATGCACTGGCTGGTTCTAGATTCTCTTCATCTGTTAGCTGAAATCAGAAAATACGAGCCTGATTAATTACCGCAAATATTTAACTTATGTTTACAAGTGTGACTGGCGTTTTGATGACAATAATTCCACCACTCTTGCTCGTTAGATTTATTTTTGCTGTGCTCTATTATCTTACATATTTATTATCTGACATTATTTCAATATGTTCCAGACATTTCAGTCTCGTGGACTTCATGATGTCAGTAATCAATAGTGATGCAAAAAGAAAATGAATTTCGTTGTTGCTTTTCTCTCTCCATTCCCCGCTGTTTACCTCTTTGATGAGCCCAAAGATTTATCGTAAGACTCTGTTTTTGAATTTTTTTAAAACGGCTTCATCTCTTTTAGTTGTGCTCCAAGCTTCAGAGCCATATAACTGGTCTTATCAACGTTTAATATATTTTGATCGTGGTGTTGGGAGATAAACACTTTGACCTTAGCAGATGTTGAAAGTAATAGTATACTTTTTTTTCAATTTTTTTCTTCTTCTCCCAACACGTTGGAGCAGTTGCAGTTTGCACCCAAGTACTTATATATTTACCTTCGTTTGATTTTGTATTATCGGTTTGTATGTGGCAGGAAATTAAATCCTTTCCATGTCTTGTATTGTCTTTTCTTGTGGCAAACATCATTTCAGAGGTCTCGGGTATTTAGTATCCTTTGGATATTCTCTCCAGTTCTGGCTAGTGTGCTGGGAAATGAGCAGGCAGATAGACTGGCCAGTTCTGCACAACTTGATGGTGAACAGATGTATGACAAGCTAGACGTCGTGAAGGCCCTCTGGGAGCGAGTGAACAGTACGGAAGCGCAAATAGATCACTACCGTCTGAGAAAAATGGTGCTGCGAGGAGTTACCAGAGGATCTGGTCGACGTGCAACATTCAAAGGAATGGCGAGACGGATATAGAGTCAGACAGTTACCGGTGCCATCGGAACTGGAACTCTTTGCTGCTGAAGATGGTGACGGAGCGCTTATGACGGTGTCCCGAGTGCTATGATGTCAATTCTTTTTTCAACATTTAAAATTCTTATCTTGATTGATAGCCAGTCCCTTTTCGTGAGCTGCTTCTTTTAGGAGAGTTAGTGATTTTACCATCTCTATTTTCTCCATCAATGTCATCTGCTTAGACAAGTATTCTTGTAGTTTCTTATATATTACATTCTCCTTTCAATTTACTTATAGTTTTCTTTAGGACTAAGTTGCAAATAAGTGGGGACATAGCATCATCTGGATTTAAACCAGAAATTATTTGAAAAGGGTCTGACTTTCTACCTTTGTTACTATATTATAAGTGCCTTCCATACATAGTTTAGTAGTCGTTTGATTAACATCTTTGGTATTTCAAAGTCCTTCAATGCAATTCATAAACTATTTATATGTACACTGTCACATGCCTTTTTAAAATCCACAAAACAATAACGTACATCTCTTCTATGTACGTTATGTATCTCTTCTATATTCCCAACTTAGCCCTGCTATTTACCGCAAAATAAATATCTGATCTATTGTAGAATTACATACTTATACTAAAAACAATTATAATTTAAAATTAAAAGCAAACGGCTATGTATAAAATAAGGAAACTGACACATACCTCTTGAAAACTCAAAAGAATCAGATCTTTAAGAATGTCCAAGTCTCTTCTTGTATCCATGTACTTAGGCCGTTTGTTGAGAGAAAATCGGGATTCTCCCTAAAGAAAATATTTTGCCAAAAAGTTGAATGTATGTATGTATGTATGTATGTATGTATGTATGTATGTATGTATGTATGTATGTATGTATGTATGTATGTATGTATGTATGTATGTATGTATGTATGTATGTATGTATGTATGTATGTATGTATGTATGTATGTATGTATGTATGTATGTATGTATGTATGTATGTATGTATGTATGTATGTATGTATGTATGTATGTATGTATGTATGTATGTATGTATGTATGTATGTATGTATGTATGTATGTATGTATGTATGTATGTATGTATGTATGTATGTATGTATGTATGTATGTATGTATGTATGTATGTATGTATGTATGTATGTATGTATGTATGTATGTATGTATGTATGTATGTATGTATGTATGTATGTATGTATGTATGTATGTATGTATGTATGTATGTATGTATGTATGTATGTATGTATGTATGTATGTATGTATGTATGTATGTATGTATGTATGTATGTATGTATGTATGTATGTATGTATGTATGTATGTATGTATGTATGTATGTATGTATGTATGTATGTATGTATGTATGTATGTATGTATGTATGTATGTATGTATGTATGTATGTATGTATGTATGTATGTATGTATGTATGTATGTATGTATGTATGTATGTATGTATGTATGTATGTATGTATGTATGTATGTATGTATGTATGTATGTATGTATGTATGTATGTATGTATGTATGTATGTATGTATGTATGTATGTATGTATGTATGTATGTATGTATGTATGTATGTATGTATGTATGTATGTATGTATGTATGTATGTATGTATGTATGTATGTATGTATGTATGTATGTATGTATGTATGTATGTATGTATGTATGTATGTATGTATGTATGTATGTATGTATGGTATGTATGTATGTATGTATGTATGTATGTATGTATGTATGTATGTATGTATGTATGTATGTATGTATGTATGTATGTATGTATGTATGTATGTATGTATGTATGTATGTATGTATGTATGTATGTATGTATGTATGTATGTATGTATGTATGTATGTATGTATGTATGTATGTATGTATGTATGTATGTATGTATGTATGTATGTATGTATGTATGTATGTATGTATGTATGTATGTATGTATGTATGTATGTATGTATGTATGTATGTATGTATGTATGTATGTATGTATGTATGTATGTATGTATGTATGTATGTATGTATGTATGTATGTATGTATGTATGTATGTATGTATGTATGTATGTATGTATGTATGTATGTATGTATGTATGTATGTATGTATGTATGTATGTATGTATGTATGTATGTGTGTGTGTGTGTATATGTCTGTGTGTCTGTGTGTGTGTGTGTGTGTGTGTGTGTGTGTGTATGTATGTCTGTATGTATGTGGGTGTATGTTTGCATGTGGGTGTGTGTATTATGTTTGAATGTATCCCAGTAAATAGCTTACTCTTTTACATATGCCTCTTGCTAAATGATTCTGGAGGCATTTTTACAGTGTGCATCTTGACTTTCTTGCAGAATACTAAGAGCCTTTGCCCGTTTTCATCAATGTCACCAAAGTTACTGTTTCTGAGGAAAACTGACGATTTTGAATTTTAGTCTAGTCTCACACAAGCATTAAAATCACCAAGCATGTAAATGCCCTCGGAGTTAGGTATCGCATGCACTGAACTTTCTATTTTTTTTTGTTTTGTTTTTGGATAATATTTTTGTGTGAGTTGTACCAAGGTTGATCATGTGAAGTAGACAGTTGAAGAGATAATATTCTGCCCTTTTTTAATGTTAGACTCTTATTGATCCCTTGCTGTAATTTTTCTCTGTTGAAACCAATCCACACTGTCGAATGTTTCCATGGTCGCTATCCTTCGAAAAGAGAGTACAGTTTTATCAAATAAATCCTTTCTGAGGGAGGCGTGTCTCGCATAGGCCAGCAATATATATACCAAGTTTGTTAAGTTTGGCACCATTACCAGCAATTCTTTTCGCAATTTGTTTCACAACATACATGTTTTACGACCAATAGAAAGTCTCGGAAACATGATTCTGACATTCCAAGCTGAAGCCGAAACTTAAAGTTACATTTCTTTTATTTCGTGGTGTATTTTCCCCCTTTCTGCCTGAGTTTGAAATTGTGTTTTATTTTGAAGCACCCATTGAAACACACAAACTGTAGCGGCTGCCCAGCTTGAAGGGACTGGTAACTGACCAATGGCTTATAAGCCCAAACTGCAGCCTGTCGATTTGTTTGATTCCAAGACAAACTAATTCCAGGGTTAAAGCTCCTCCTCTCCATAGCACAAATCCTGGAAAGTATTGTAGAGATTATGTAGTCCCCATGAGGCGTGCTCACTCTTTCATCGGCCTGCTTTGTTAACTCTAAGGAAAGGCACTACCAATACGTTTAGATCAAAGCATGCTATATAAGCTGCCTTTTCATCTGTCGGAATTTCGAGCCTAGATTATCTGCTAAAAGCCTGCTTTGCCCTGACATAATATTAAGCTTTTTGGTTGCATTTCCTTGTCATAGGATTAACGTAGTATCCCTCCTAAAGATCGGCCAGTGAGACAAAAAATTGCGTCCGACATTGGGACTCAGTATGCATATTTTTGTTACTTCAGATGCAATGTCAGGTTTTATATAAACCGCTTAACAGTCAGCGATAATAGAGAGCAATAGTACCAACTATTGCTATACGATCATCATCATCAGGTACCTTGCGACTGGCGTGGGCGATCATGCCTCTATAATCTGCGGTCTCCTGCAGCAGGTATCATTTCGTGTGCCGACACACCTCCATGCCATAAAACAAGACTGTCAAGAATCTTCTCTCGTTGTCTTCGTCTATCTCTCCTTCCACAGATCTTTCCAGTGGTCACAACATGTTCAATTTTCCCTCTTCTCATAACATAGCCGAAAAATGATGACTGTCTCCTTCTGATGTCTGTACTAAGTTGTCTTCGGGCTCCCGCCTCTTTCAAAACCTCTAGGCTGCTCTTTTTGGGGCTGTCCAAGGTATTCTAAGCATTCTTCTGTAAAACCACATCTCTGAAGCCTCTAGAAATTGTTTGGCCTGCCTACCAATTGTCCAGGATTCACAGCCCTATGTTAAAACTGGATGTATGTAGGAAGGAAGAATTCTTTTTCTAACTCTCAATGACAAGGATATATTGCACAAGATGTTTTTCATTTTATAAAATGCAGTTTTTGCCTGTCCTATTGTGTTTCTTATCTCAGTTATGCATCTTCCATCTGATGTTATCCATGTGCCCAGATACTTTGATTTCTGTACTTGTCCTAAAATAACACCATCGACTTTTTTTGTTACACATTTAGGAATAATTCGTTTCTTTGATACCACCATTACTTCTGTCTTCCCATTTTCAAACTGAGGTCCATTCTTCCACTTTCTAACATCACAATGTCTATAATTTCCTGTAGTTCTTTCTGACTTGTTGTTATCAAGACTGTGTCATCAGCCTAACGTAAATTGTTTATATTGTACCCACCAACCACAATTCCGGGCATATCAATTAAAGATCTCATTATATTTTCACTGTATATTGAAAACAAATCAGGTGACAGTATACATCCTTGTCGTACGCCTATCTTTATGCTTTGAAATGTACTAAAACACTTGTTAATTCTTATAGCTGCTGTTTGCTGCCAATACATATTTTTTATTATTCGTAGATCTTTCCCATCAATGTTAAATTTTTCTAACAGTTTGATTACTTCTTCATGCTTCATACAGTCAAAAGCTTTTGTATAGTCTATTAAGCACAAGTACAAATCAGTCTTTACTTCTATAGCTCTTTCTGACAATGTCCTTAGGATGTATATGGCATTGTTTGTACCTTTTCCTTCTACAAATCCACATTGCTCATCGCTGATTTCTGGTTTCATTTTGTTTCTTATTCTTCTCATAATTATTCTCAGTAAAATCTTAGTCCTGTGACTCATAAGACTTATTGTGCGATGGTCTTCACATTTTAAAGTGCCTGGTTTCTTTGGCAGAGCTATAAATATATAAACGACTTAGCAGCTTGATACTACGTGTTTAAATGTTGCCTAAAACATTTCCAGGTCACGATGTCTCACTGGTAACTACGTTTTGTCTAACTCGTTAGAGCTAAAAAGGAACCCTAATATCTTAATTTGAAATGAAAGAAATAATCAGTTTTTTAGTCAAGAGCATACCACCTATTCTGCACAGGCACTATGTAGTGCAGAGCTGTCCAAACTGTGTGTCACGGCACATTAGTGGGACTGATGCAGTGTGGAGGTGTGTCGTGCGAGTAAAGAGCGCTAATGAAAGTATGTATGTGTCCGTATCTCTTATAAAGGGTCATTTTAACATCTGGTTTACTAGTATGTATGTAAACTGAATTACTGTGTCGCGAAATTATGTTTATCTATGCAATATTTCGTCTTGCGTTGGTTTCGATAATGGTACCGAGAACTGACCGTTGAGAGGTATGGCAAACTATTGAACGCAAAATGTGCCTAGAAAAATCACAACAGCCACACATACACACAAAATGCTAGGGTTGGTTCTGCAATTTCCTGTAAAGGATACGCAACTGACTTAAATCAATATATCGCCAACATGAAAACTGAACAGCTCTGATTTAATTTATGTTTACAGATTTTTTAGTATATGTTTTATATTCAAGTTTCTGGTTCATACTGTAGTCAGCATTAGCTTTTTGACGTATTAGTTACATATTCTAAGTTTGGTACTCGATTTTCTTTCTTTCATTCTTCTTCTTCTTCTTCTTCTTCTTCTTCTTCTTCTTCTTCTTCTTCTTCTTCTTCTTCTTCTTCTTCTTCTTCTTCTTCTTCTTCTTCTTCTTCTTCTTCTTCTTCTTCTTCTTCTTCTTCTTCTTCTTCTTTTTCTTCTTCTTCTTCAGCATTCCGAGCCCTTGAGGTTCATTGCTGCAGATATTACCCGCCTCCATTGATCTCT